GCATTCCAAAGCCAGAACAAAGGCAGGCCACCACCTCTGTCCCCTTCCCATGTTCAACCTCTGCCAGGCTGGGCCTCTGAATTAGATAACCAGAAGCCACTGGAAATTCAGCCCTTTTAGAAAGCAGCAGAGAAAACCACAGCTTCTGAACGGCCACATCCACCATCACCCAGGACCAAATTTAGCACCAGCCAAGGTGCTCACATTTGAAATTCCATCTGCTGGAAGAAAGGTTACCATGACAGGATGTCAAGTTTGAAGATAGAATCCTCTTTTTAACAGGAGAATTAAAAAGAAGAAAAGAAAGAAGTCAGGAAGGATGGAAGAAAAAAGAAAATCCACCTCCATCATCAGAAAAGCTGTGCCCACTGGTCAAACAGCACCATGCTCACCTGAAATAACCCACCAAAAGACTTATTCAATTCTTTAGGCTTGTCCGTGGTTCCCCAATTTTCTACAGTGAATCCAGTAGTTAAGAAAAGAAACTTTGAGACCTCCAACAGCAAAAGTGGTCCAGCAGGACATGTTGCTCCTTTTCCTCCTGGCACTCAAAGAGAAAGCCCATCTTTGGGAAGCAATTTCTGTTGAGCTGAGAAACTAGAATTTTGGGATGTCCAGAAAAGACTGCGGGGTTCTTTAAATAAATTCTCAGCACCTGTTCCTATGTCCTCCTGCAAAAAAGCCCACAGGGTGTGGGTTCCCATGAATAGGAGAGGCAGATGGAATGGGGTCACCCACTGGTTGGACTTGTATGGGTCCAAGGGGCTGGCCAATTGTTTGGTCTCATTCATAGAGCTGCTGCTAGAAATCTCCCCTCACCCCCTACCCCTGCCTCTTCTTGTCCTTCCCCTCTGACCTGCCGCAGCCCTCACCTAGTGCCAACCCATCTCACGGGCCTGGGTCACGCCAAGCCTAGTCTGCTCAGGCTCCCCACCTCGGCAGCCATTCTATCATGGCGGAGTTACCAAAGTTAGGATTCCGCCAACAGGGCTGATAGCTTATTTACTGCTGTCATCTATAGAAAGAGGAATTTTGACACATTGTTAAATGATAGCACATTTAGATAAGTCAAGCTGTCAGAGGCTCTAATGGATGTCTAAACTCTCTGTGGCTGATATGTAAAATTTATGCACTTCAGAATATCATAAGGTTATAATATTTTAATCACATCCATGCTCTTTTCTAAACTTTAAGCTGGGAAAAATATTCCACCAAGCCCACTCTCACAAGCACCGAGAAATTGAGCCTACCCAAAAGTTTCTCCAAACTCCCTACAAAATTCCAGCCTTTCTCACCCCAACAGTTTTCCCCCTTCAAAGCTCACACCCCAAGTAGAATTTGCCTCCTCCTCCAAAACTCGTACTATGTGGTCCCTCCAGCGGACCTCTTTCCTCCCAAGAAACACAATGTGCTTTTGGACTGGATGGCCTCATTTTGATTGGATGCCCTCAACTCTTGTTGGTTTGATTAACCCTCCCAGAAGGAAAAAAAAAAAACACTAAGAGGACAGCACGGGAGATGGGAACCAGGGCATCATAAAAAAGAGTGGCAAAGTAAAGCAGAAAAAGAAAATCATAAAGGTATGAATCCAGTTATGACGATTATACACAGAAAAGCCATAAAAAAATACTGCATTAGTAATGTTCACCATAAAGCAATCTTATAACCAAATGAAATATGCCCAGCATTATCTTTGGGATGGAATTTTATTTTTTCTCATTTCCTGGACTGTTAGCAACAGAAGAAAAAAGAAGAATGGGGACAAGCAGTTTCAGGGGTCCTGGAGTGGGGTACCACATGTCAGGGCATCTTTACCACCAGCCCACAAGTCATTAAGCCTGTTGACTGACTTCCACGGTAGGAAAACAGCCTGCTGTGCTCAGACATGGTGCTGGAAGGAATAATAACTGGACTGCTTCCATATTTGAAGAATATATACTTCCGGAGGGCTGTATGCTGGGATCGTACAAGGTCACCTTTCTTGCCAAGATCAGGGTGGCGTAAGCAGCGTGGTCTGGCCTGGGGACATAGGCTGCCTTTGCCACTTTAACACTCAGCAACCAGGCTGCGTGAAATCGCTCAACCTGAACAACCAAGAATTGAAGCCACACACCTCCTCACACACTCACAGGCAGCTAGGCCACAGGACAGAGGGGCCCAGCACTCTCAGCCTGCACAGGGCCTGGGGTGGGGGCCCACCTCCCCTACCTGGATCTCAGAACAAACCAGCAGAAGTTTTCCTTCCTACTTACATCCCTTATAAGAGGAGAGTGGGAAGGGAAAAAATGAAAATAAAAACATGGTGGAGGAGTCATTGGCATTACACACAAGAGATGGTCCTGGGCAAGAGTACTTAGGCTCATAATCCACTTCCAGCAGAAATGCTATCGGTGAGAGTATGTGGGGAAGCTGCAGGCTGTTGGGCAGGAGGACATCTGAACGTTTCAGGATGAGGGTAGGGACAGTGGCAAATGTGAGGGTCTAAATGTTTGCAGGCAGCCATGGCTGCCACGTTTATTTCTCTCCTCTCTGGAAGTGTGCAGCCTTTCAAACTCCCAAGGGACACCCCCCCACACTTAATATCCATGTAAATGAGCTTACCCCCTTCCATGAGAGCTCTCTCCTTTTGTGCCAGACACACCAACCATTGTCTTAATGAACCGCACCCCCCTGCCCTGTGTATACACTCTGCAAGGGGAGAGGTCTTGGCCCTATTTCTCCATCACCTGAACAAGACTCTCCACTACTGCCCCCACCTTTCTAGTTCAAATTTGCTTTTCCACCTCGGCATCTTCCAAAACCCTAACAAAGGGTTCCCAGATCAATGGGAGTCCAACTGGAATCAAGATTTGGGTGATCTCAACAGCTCCACAGAAGACTCTGAGCTGGAGAAGGAAAAAAGTGAGGTTCATACCCACTCCCCCTAGCTCAGATATCAGCCTCCGAGAGCCGCCCCCATCCCTGAGCACCCAGCCCCAGCTCTCCCCCACCCTCCCCACTGCAGCCCAAGCTCCCCAGATTGAAAACGAGTTATCTAATGAAAATTGTGTTAACTGACATTCTGGCCAACCGGGAGCAAATACCAGCGCTGTAAATCTCGCCTCAGAAATTTTCTCCAGCCCAGAATAACAATAGGACCCTGCAAAGGGCTTCCGCCAGCCCTTCTGGTTCCTCTCCTCTTGTCTGCCACGTTCTTGTCATTCCCTATGTTACAGAACATCAATCATAAATAAAGACGCTGTCCCCCAGCCGTGCCCAGGTCTCATTTACAAACATTAGCAGGGAATACGATTACCATTGGCCTTCGTGCCAAGCCCAGTGTGGCTGCCCAACTCTCTCTCTCTTCCCCACACCCCCACTATTCCAGAAAGGCCACTTTAGCATCATTTAAATGGGCAAGCACAGCTCACAGCCCTGCCAGCCTCAGCTGGCCACCAAACTGTAGCCCCAACTCCAGTGAGAACCTGGAATTGCAAGGCACTTGCAGTTATTAACTGCATGCCTGAGTGCCCCGATTTTCTCTCCAGCTCAATGGCTTTGGGGAGGGGGTGAGCAGACAGGGGAGTTATGAAGGAGGGGGGCTGGAAAGCATCCAGGAGGAGGGGGTACTGGAACCACTTATCAGAAGAAACTTAAGGAGATCTGCAGGCGGATTTTTTTTTAAAGTGGGTTCCTTTTTATCTCTAGACTGATGCTCTCTCACTTACTCCACGAATGTCAAGGCCAAGGGAGGATGCTCTAATCGCCTGGTTATCAGCACCACTTACCCGCCCCTTGTTCCCACCGCACCTGCCGAGACTTTGAGAGACTCCAGGATTTGGAGGGCTGGTCAGGAGCAACCTGGGGCACCAGAGAAAGCACAGAGGATACATCTGTACCTCCAGTGAACGCTGAGATTCCACCCCTGCCCCGCCTCTTAGGAGGTTAGCAGAGAGAGCAACCCCAAATCTTGGGGAGACACACTCCCAGAGGAAGGTGGAGTGGGGCTAAAGTACTGGGGTTTGGGAGGGAATCGCACTAGGTAAGAAGAGGAAAGAGAAGACGGAAGAAACGGAGAGGCTGGAGAGAAAAGAGGGAGCGGCAGGGAGGAAAGGGAGGCAGAAGACAGCGAGGGAATCTCCCATTTAAAAGTTCCCATGGGCCCGACAGCCGTGAGTCACCTGCTCTGCGCTGTTCCCGGCTCTCCACAGTCCCCGAAACAGGAGCGCAAACTTGCGCGCCCCCCGGGCCCATCTCCACCGCCCATCCCCATTTAGACTCGAAAAGAGGGTTGAAGGCGATAAAAATCAAGAAGCAAAGACGAACCCCGAGAACCCGGCCGGAGGAGAGGTCTGCCGGCACAGGCGGCCAGTCCGACGATGGTGGCTGCGGCGGCTGGGGCGGCAGCAGCGGCCCCCGGGTTGGCGGCGCGTCCGGGCAGCGCAGCCAGGCTGGCGGCGGCGGCGGCGAAGGTGCCGGCGGGCGGCGGGGCGCGGAGCCGCCTCCTCGCCAACCCCGGCTGCCTCCTCCTCCCTCCTCCTCCTCCTCCTCCCTGCCCGCCAGCTCCCTCCTCCCTCGTCGAGCCCCAGCCGGGCGCGGACAGGCACGCGGCGCACTCCGCGGCCTCCCCAGGCGCCGCGAAGTTGGGAGGCGCTCAAAGTGCGGTGCGAAGGGGGCTGCCGGGGGTCCCGCCGGCAGCCCCCTGTCCGGGAGCTCAGCCCCTGCCTTCCCCGCGCCTCGCTCGGCCGCTCTCCCGCTGGCTCGCTCCCCGGGCCGAGGGCTCACTAGCGCTTCTCCATGGTCGCGGCGGCCAATCGATGATTGAACCGAACAAAGAGCAGCGACGAGATCAATTCCTAATACCTATCGATGGGCAGCGGGCAGCCGAGCCCCGGCGAGCCCCAGCAGACGCCGCCCGCCGCCCCGGGGCGTCCGCCCACCCTCCCGGGGACCTTCCCGATGCGCCCAGGGCGCGCCCGAGGGCTCCCCACAGCCGCGCGGCCGGCGCTGCCCGCACTAACCTGGAGTCGCCGTAGATCAAATCGCTTCCAATATTGAAACATCGATCCCACATTGGCGGCCATCTTGGGGGCTATTCGAGACGCACACACACAAGAGTTTGGCTTTTCTCAATGGCTGCACTCAATATCCGGGCTGGACTCCCCCCAGCCCCGGGGCCGCCGCCCGCCGCCCGGGCCCTGCGCGCCGCTGCCCGGGGCCCCTCGGGCGCCCCCGGGCCTCCTGCCACCCGCTGCCCCTCGGCGCCGCCGCACCGCCGCCGCCGTCGCCTCCGGGCCCGGGAGCCGTGCGCCCCCCCGACCCCCGGAGGGCGCGGGAGGAGCGCGCCGGGCGGGGAGCTCGGCGCCCGCCCGGGGGAGGCGACCAGGGATGGGGTGGAAGGGGAGGGGTGGGGGGGAGGCAGCCTCTCCGAGAGGCGCCGGCGCCGCCGCTGCCCTCCCTGCAGCCAGCTCCCGGGCCCGCGGAGCGCTCGCTGCATCTCCCCCCTCAAGTCCGGGGTCGGTGTGCCGCGCGATTGCACTTGACTTTGGCTTTTTGCAAACTTATCAATACTGACGTAACGTGCTGATCAATGCAGAGGGAAGTTTGGGAGGGGGAGCTGCGGTAGGCCGACGCGCGGGGCGCCTACCCGCTCCTCGCACCTGTCCACCCCCACCCCTGCATTACCTACTTAAAAAAAAAAAGTTAATAGTTTGCAATGCATTTTTTTTTTCAGGAGGACACACAACACGTGCCTCAGGCTGCTGCCGCTCGTCCGCAAGCTAAGCTTCGGATCCGAGGGTAACAGCCTGCAGCGAGAGCTGCGTAGACTCGGGGGCCGGCAGGCGTGTGGGAGCAGGCCAGCGGGCGGGTGGGAGCCGCCCGGGGGCGCCACTGAGTCCTGGGAAGTGTCACCGCTGCCTGCGCACTTCCCACGCCATTATATTGTTAGGATTATTATTGGGGCGCGGCGCCTTAGCCAAAGCTCAGGGTTCTTGCGGGGCAGAAGGGCCCTTAGGTCCTTTGCAACAGGGATTTCTGCTATTACTTGAGGGGAGTCTTTAGCCCAATTATAAGGACTCCTCACGTTAGAGTGGGAACCCTTTTAGTGTGATGATTATTGGAGTTCTCAGTCAAATCTCTTTTCTCCCCTCAAGTGGGCTGGCTTTTATTGTTACTTTTGTTAAATGAGTTAACTTTTACTGTTGAGGGGACCCCAGCCCTGCTGTTAGGGCTCTGGATCCTTAACAGCTATAGACGTTTCTGCTATTATTACCATCATTATTAGTAGTCGGGGTTCCTTAGCCTGGCTGGGGACCCCAGGTCCTCTGCAGTAAGGAGGTCCTTCATTATGATTGTCTCCTTGGCCTGGATAGAGGGAGGTTTCGGTCATTTGCAATTTCTCAGACCTTGAGCAATAGGGATGACTAGGTTTCTTCTCTTACATTTTCCTGTCTGTTTTTGCCTCTGGGCAAGTCAGAGGTCCCCAGTGCTCTCCCCATATCCCACCCCTCAGGAGGAACTCAGACCCCAACTCCCTCCATCACCAACCCACTTTACCCCCTCATCCACTCCCCATCACCGACCCTGGGGTCACTCTCCCTCTCTGGCATGTCACTCTGCCAAATCCCACACCCATGTTCCTCCCCACTCCCTCAAAAGGACATTTTCCCCCCTTTTCCTCTGGTCAAAAGATTTGCTTTTATAGATGACAAATGGAAATTATATTTGCTTTTTATGACCCAGCTTGGACTTCTGACATCACTCTTAGTCTGGGACAATAGATCAATACAGAGGGTTATAAAAAAGATAAAGTTTAGAAGAGTTGTAAAGGAGAGAGAATAGTGATAGATATTTTTGATGATTTTCCAATATTTGTGTCTCGGAGCACGTGCTTCAAGGCAATTAAAGTTTTTAATGTAATGTAAATAATTGTTTCATAAATGCTTCAGAAGAAGGTGTGATCTTTCTGAGTAATCACTTGAGCTGCTTAAAAAATGTAATGTGATTTAAACAAGGATACAGTATTTCTGTTACCATCCCCATACATTTTCCATGAGGCCTGGGTAAATATATTAATGCACAATTTGAAAGACCTGTAAGACCAAAAAGTACAGCATTCACCAAGATATAATGAATTAAGCCTAGTTAGCAATTCTGAGTGGCCTGTTTCCTTGCCAGATTAAATTGCACGCAATGTGTGGTTTATCTCAGCTCTCGATAACTTCACGTTTAAATTACAGCTCTCATTCTGCAAAATGAATTTAGGAAAATTTCATAACTATCGCACTGCAATTTTTTAAATGGCTACATTTTCTCCTGAGCATCTGTAAAGCTTACAGCTTCCTGGTCTTTGAGTCTGTTTTTTAAAGACCTGTAATAGGAAGTCTGGAGTGAGTGTGAAACCCTTCAAAGCAATTTTTAATAAACCAAGGTTTTGATGAAAGATTATTTTAAATTTATGTTTGACTTTGCAGTCATGGAACAAACTACATCGTGTACCTCTTGATATGATGTACCGAAAAGGATACAACATCACTTCTGTGGCATTCCTTCCAAAAATGCAAAATCTGAATCTAATTGTGAAGAAATATCAGACAAACCCAAATGGAGGGCAAATTCTACAAAATAAATAGCCTGTTCTCTATAAAAATGTCAATGTCACATGAAATACACCGGAAGACTGAAGAAGTATTTCAGATTAAAGAAAGCAAAAGAGACTTGACAAGTGATTAAAATGTACGATCTGGGATTTTCTTTGACTATAAAGTGCATTAATTGGTGCCAGTGGCAAACTTAAAGTCAATAAATTAGATCATGGAATTGTATTAATGTAAATTTCCTGGTTTTGATCACTGTATTGTGGCTATATAACAAAATACTCTTGTTTTTAGAGAACACACTTAAGTATTTAGGAGCAAAGGAACATACATCATGTCTGCAACTAACTCTCAAATGGTTCAAAAATAATATGCATTTATTTATCTATATCTATATTGAGATAATAATATAGCAAATGTTGCAAAATATTAATATTTGAAGACTCTAGGTGAAGTGTACACAGAAATTCTTTGTATTTTCCTTGCAACATTTCTGTGAATCTGTAATTATGTCAAGAGAAAAAAAGATTTACTTCTGACTTTGTTTCAGCTGTTAGGGTCTCCTGGGCTTCCGAATAAAATTCTGCATGGAAACTTTTCTGTTTTTGACTGACGTAGGCTGCACCTTTGACCGAGCAGGAAATTGCCATAGCAAACATGCTTACTGAGGAGCAGCGAGAAAATCCAATAATTCAGATTGTTTTAAGTCTGTGATATTTTTAAATGACTTAATGCAGTGGGTCTCTGAAGAATTCCGGCAATTTTAATGGTAGAAACTTGCAGTCCCACTGAGGAATGGGTTGCTACATAAATACTGAATGATCGTGTCTTTCTGTCTGGGCTAAAACATATTAGGTTTGCTTAGTGGCTTACTGCTTTATTCACAAAATAAATTTCAGCCGTCTCTCCCCACCATATTCCAAGTGCATTGTGAGCCTGTGCCTTATTAAATGTGAGGGCTTATATTCCAAAGGCATCTGTTACTGTCTCAAGCTAAGCAATAATGAATTAAGCAGTTCAGTGTTTACCTCCTAAACAGAGATAGCTGGGGAAATATTATTATTATGGGTGGTGCTTAATGAAAGATGGTAAACCAGGAAACTCAGACGTTTTCAGCAAACAACCAGCCGTGAACTGGGGAACTAAAGTACTAAAATATTAAATACTTTTGTGAAAAGCGTATTTTTCATGTTCTTAACTCTCCGTACCCAAAACCCACACATGCAAATATACAAAAACTGAAGCAGCTTCCAGGTTGATTCCTGATTCTCAAAGACCCACACCTTAAGATGAGTATTTTTAAATTAACAGTAGAAAAGACACCCTCTCCCCACCCCAGAGGAAGCAGAGGGTGGCTTGGAACAGCCTATCCTGAAAGCAGAATCAGAGCAGGATCCTTTAGGAAATTCATAAACTGTGCAAGAAACCAAGGAAGATAATGGCAGGTCCTTAGCCACAAACATAATGATATGCGAAATCCCCAGCATCAAAGCTGAAACAAAAGAAAATGTCCTTCCATAGCTCTGCATTGCCTACCACAGCTTCTAGGCAGGGATAAAAACAACCAGCGCCTCCAAATTCATCTAGAGCTATTAAACAGCCCTAGTAGAGCAGTAAGGGATATGAGAGTATCTGGCTGACACCTGCAGGGGAATGCCCCTGAAGGCTGGCCCATGGGGAGGTCCCAGATCCAGAGGCTGGAGTGACTGGCTACAAGGACCAAGTCAGCAATTCCTTATTTGCAAAATTCCTGGCACCATGTGTCAAACACTACCATTATTAAGCACCTACCGTTTGTTGAAGCCTTATAAATAAATCATTAGCATAACATGGTGGTTAGGAGCATGACTCTGGAGCCAGACTGTTTAGATATGAATCCCAGCTCTGCCAGTTACAAGCTCCGTGACCTTGAGCCAATAATTTTACCTCTCTGTGCCTCATTTTCCTAATGTGTACAATGGTGCTAATAACTGTACAAACTGATGAGGGTTAAAGGAGTTCATCTATGTAAAGCATTACATAAATGTGCTGTATCTAGTAGCTATCATCACTGTCCCAATGGATGGGACACGGATCTGAATTCCCACACTGCAGATGGAAAAAGTGAGTCCCTAAGAGAGGAGCTGGCTGGCTCACAGTCACATATTTGCAAAGGGGCAAAACCAGGACTGATACCTGGGTTCATGCACATCAAGCCCGGGGCTCTTTTCACTTGAGACTGCCCCGTCTCTTATGGGGAGGAAGAATAAGTAGAAAAGTCGATGCCCAGAAAACAGAGCTACAGACTTAACCACATGCCAACTCTTAAAAACCAGACAAACTGGAGAGGAACCACACAAGAGGGACAGGCTGCCTTGGCCTACTTCCCCTCCAATGTCAGAGACTAAAACAACTGATTGTGTTATTTATATTGTGCTGATTTTCTCTTTTGCTCCCCTTCCCCACTCACCACCCCTGCTCTGTGCCCCAGGAAGCTGACTTCAGTGGAGTGCATCCCCCAGGCTCCCTTGCTCTCTGGCTTCCAGCTGGGTTTGGCCAATGGGAAGCCCTGGTTGGAGATAAGATGGGAGGAGAGACATGTTGGGGTATTTATTCCCTGGTTCCCTCCCTACTTCACTGCAGTCCTGGCAGTGGCCGCATCCTTCTACAGCCACAGCCCCTGTCAGACTGTCCTCCTACACTCACTAGGCCCTAGTAATTGCTCCCTTTCCCAACCCTTTCAGGTCTGGTGTGGAAATAACTTCCTCCACTTATTAGCATCT